AGTAGAGACGGGGTTTCACCATGTTGACCAGGATGGTCTCGATCTCTTGACCTCGTGATCCACCCGCCTCGGCCTCCCAAAGTGCTGGGATTACAGGCGTGAGCCACCGCGCCCGGCCCCTTGTTTAATTTTTCAAATCGGAGTGGGAAAATAGAAGGGAGACGTATTATTTTGGAATTATAAAGAACTTAATTCTTGTCTACTGTAACTCCTTTATTTTACACATGCAGTAACTGAGACCCAGTGTGAGCATGTTTTACAATAACCTCCATTTCATCTCCATGAGGCCCGGCGCAGTGGCTCATGCCTGTAATCCTAGCACTTTGGGAGGCCAAGGTGGGCAGAGCACCTGAGGTCAGGAGTTCAAGACCAGCCTGGCCAACATGGTGAAACTCTGTCTCTACTAAAAATACAAAAATTAGCTGGGTATAGTGGCACACGCCTGTAATCCCAGCTACTTGGGAGGCTGAGGCAGAAGACTTGCTTGAACTCAGGAGGCGGAGGTTGTAGTGAGCCAAGATTGTGCCACCGTACTCCAGCCTGGGCAACAGAGTGAGACTTGGGATCAAAAAAATAAAAGTAAAAATAAATAAATAAATAAACTCCATGAAGGCAGGGACCTGGACAGCCTTGTTCTTTTCTCTATCTACAGAGCTCAGCACAGACCTAGACACAGGCTTACATAGCTTTTTAGCAGTTATACAAGTGCACTGTGTCATGTATAATGCCCTTGACCAGAATCACCAATGGAGTAGGCAACAGAGATAGTTTGCCCTTGAGGATTCAGCTTGCAAATGTGCATTGAATGAATCCATCTTTTTTTTTTTTTTTTTTTTTTTTTTGAGACAACAGAGTCTCGCTCTGTCACCCAGGCTGGGGTGCAGTGGCCTGATCTCTGCTCACTGCAACCTCCACATTTCAGGTTCAAGCAATTCTCCTGCCTCAGCCTCCTGAGTAGCTGGGACTACAGGCGCCCACCACCAGACCCAACTAATTTTTTGTATTTTCATAGAAACAGGCTTTCACATGTTGACCAGGCTGGTCTCAAACTCCTAAGCTCAGGCAATCTGCCTGCCTTGGCCTCCCAAAGTGCTAGGATTACAGGCATGAGCCACTGTGCCCAGCAGAATTAATCTTTTAAGAAACTGATTTATTGTCCAGACGTGGTGGCTCACGCCTGTAATCCCGGCACTTTGGGAGGCCAAGGTGGGCAGATCACAAGGTCAGGAGTTTGAGATCAGCCTGGCCAACATGATGAAACCCCATCTCTACTAAAAATACAAAAATGAACTGGGCGCAGTAATCCCAGCTACTCAGGAGGCTGAGGCAGGAGAATCACTTGACCTGGGAGGAGGAGTTTGCAGTGAGCTGAGACTGCACCACTGCATTCCAGCCTGGGCAACAGAGCCAGACTCTGTCTCAAAAAATAAATAAAATAAAACAAAAAAGAAACGCATTCATCATACCCAGTGCTCGAATGTCGTCAGTGGTAAGTCTGCAGCTACCCAGCCTCAGGATTTTTAATTTGCTGACCAGATGCATTTGCTGAGTGATGGAATGGAGGGTTCCACCTACAAAATCATTCCAGGAGATATCCAGTTCTTCTAAGTCCAGGAGAAAAGGCAGCAAGGCAACTAGAAGTGAACAGAAGAAAATACAGATATAGGTATGTGACTTGTGAGTTGTGGCAAAGAAAAGGCAATGTCTACATGAACAGGACATAGTTTTGTACTGTAAGGGAATGGATGGGGGCGAGCATGCTGACTTTTGGCAAAGCAGGGAGCCTGTACAACTGGAGAAATTGTAATGTTACATTTTCTATTTCTTGGGATGTTTTCTATTTCTACCAAACAACTGCAGTCTGAAAATGCAGGGATGTGACACTAAGATTTCATACAGCCTCTTTTCCTAAACTCAGCTCAAGTCTTCAAAGCTTAAGGAAGGATCAATTAACTTGTTTGAAAAAAAAAAAAAATAGTAATGCTACTCCTGTAATTCTCTGGGACCACTCAGCAGACTTGGGGTTACCAGGTGGGTAGCTAAACCTGTTTTATCTGCTCATCTCCATGGGAAGGCCCCGTCTTCCTGTGTGCAAGGTCTATGGCATACAAACCCATTTCTTTCATGTCTGCCGTTGTTAATCCGCAGTTATTCAAATCTAGACACTTGTCGACAGTCTTTTTGCCCAGCTTCTGCAGGAACCGCTCATTTTCCTCCATACTGGATCTCAGTTCCATTTCTGAACTCAGAGGCTTAGCTGTGTGATAAGCATAAAAAATAATTTGCTGTTGATGGATGTATGAAAGATGCATAGTGAGCACAATCAGACAAGTGAAAAGACTGCACAACTCTGAACTGGCCTGTTAGAAAAACTTCAACTCAGAGGTAGAGCCATTTACTGGGGACAAAGCTTAACTAGCCTCTGTTCCTGCCACCAGGTGCCCAGACACTGCTTCAAGGAGCCAAGGAACTCAGTGGCTTTTCTATCATGACCTGACCTGGACTTCTCAGCATGAAGACAGACAGAGCTGCATTCCTGGGTGAGAAGCAAACCTCCCAGCCCAGCTTTTGAGATGCTTCCTAACTCGAAGGGCACACAACTGGATGCAACTGCTAGGGAGGAAGCAGAGATACTTGTCTCCTAAAACCAAGCAGGTGAAGAGGGGAAAACATCGAAATCACCATCAATGAGCTTCAAATGGCTCCACAGAGGGGAATTCTTGCCGGTCAGTTCTTAGACCATTTAATTGGCAAACACAAATCCAGAGAAAGTAGGCCTTGGAGAGCTTTTGCTCTTTGTCAACTCCTACCAGAAAGTGCATTTGGAAAGCCTTGCTTGTCCTTCTTGTTACTGTGGCACCCTCACCAGCTTCCTCTGTAATAACACTATAATAATATGATAGCACTATAATAATAAAAACTATCATTTTATTAAGCACCTACTATGTACTCATTCTTTGACTACTTGCAGGTGCCATCATTTTTTTTTCGTTTCTTTTTTTTTTTGAGATGGATTCTTACTCTGTCACCCAAGTTGGAGTGCAGTGGCACAGTCTCGGCTCACTGCAACCTCTGCCTCCCAGGTTCAAGTTATTCTCCTGCCTCAGCCTCCCAAGGAACTGGGACTATAGGCTCCCACCACCATGCATGGCTAATTTTTGTATTTTTTAGTAGAGATGGGGTTTCCATGTTGGCCAGGCTGGTCTCGAACTCCTACCTCAGGTGATCCATCTTCTCTTGGCCTCCCAAAGTGCTGGGATTACAGGCATGAGCCACCATGCCTGACCAGGTGCCAGCATTTAAGACATACATGAAATACATCATACTTTTATAAGGAAAAATGAATATACATGTATTCAGTGATTTTAAAGTGGTTTTGTAAGTGAAATATACAACTTTAAACATATAGCTACATATATTGAAATCCAAGAAAAAATCATAAGTTCTGGAATGTGCAGTAATATTTTATTAGCCCTGACAAAAAGGTGTAAGACCACATAGCTAAGAAGAAATGCATTGGTACCAGTGAAAATTAAAAGATAGTAGGATTGCAGTAGTAATGCATTTAGACCAAATGATTAGCAGGATAATAAAAACTATACCTCTAATCCACAGCAGTCTTTGGCTTTCTCTTTGTTCTAAGAAAACCGTTTGTAGGATACTAGTCTTTGTTGGAATGATTGGTGTTATTACCACATTTCACCAGTAGGAGGCAGCAATAGCCACCATTTAACCTTTCCACTCTCCCATTTTTATGGCACGTTGGACACAAGGTATTTAAGTTTGGGCAGAGTTGCCAGATTTAGGAAAAACAACAGGATGCCCAGTTAAATTTAAATTTCTTTTTTTGCTTTTTTTTTTTTTCGAGATGGAGTCTCACTCTGTCATCCAGGCTGTAGTGTAATGGTGAGTTCTCGGCTCACTGCAACCTCTGCGTCTCAGGTTCAAGCAATTCCTCTGCCTCAGCCTCCCAAGTAGCTCAGATTACAGGCGCCCACCACCATGTCTGGCTAATTTATTTTTTATTTATTTATTTTAAGTAGAGATGGGATTCACCATGTTGGCCAGGCTGGTCTTGAACTCCTGAACTCAGATGATCTGCCCGCCTCAGCCTCCCAAAGTGCTGGGATTATAGGCATAAGCCACCGTGCTCAGGCTTAAATTTCAAATCAATAAGGAATCGTTTTATAGTATGACTCAACTACTGGATGTATTTTCTCTGGAAACCCTAATTTTGGGTTGAGCAGAGCAGAGTTGTGGATGGGAGACAAGGAGGGACTGCCGTTTAGGTGCTGGCAAAGTACAAGACATTTTGTCTAAAGGAGTCGCAAACAATTTCATAGATTTGGAGACTTCGAGACATGATTAATTAGGAAGAAGCAGAGCCTGAATTTGAACCCGGAATAGTTGTTCCAAAGCCCGTGGTGTATGTGTTTTATTTCTGTATTTAAAGATTTCTCTGCATTGCATCTTATTGCAGTCTCTCATTTGTTTTTAAGCTTTTTTTTTTTTCTTTTGAGACAAAGTCTCGCTCTGTCTCCAGGCGCCAGGCTTGAGTGCAGTGGTGCAATCTCAGCTCACTGCAATCTCCACCTCCTGGGTTCAAGCAATTCTCCTCCCTCAGCTTCCCGAGTAGCTGGGGACTACAGGTGTGCACCACCATGCCCAGCTAATTTTTGTATTTTTTAGTAGAGACGGGGTTTCACCATGTTGGCCAGGGTGGTCTCCATCTCTTGACCTCGTGATCCGCCTGCCTTGGCCTCTCAAAGTGCTGGAATTACAGGCGTGAGCCACCACGCCCGGCCCTTGTTTTTAAGCTTTTTACCCCAACCTACGATCATGTTCAAATTCCAGCCCCGCCAAACCCACTCTTCTGTTTTCTCCTCAAGACACTGCTCTGTCGAGCATTTCCCTCACTGTTAAATGTTTGGAAAGAGTGGTTTACACTTGCGAGCCCAACTCCTTCCCTGTACTGTCTGGTTGCTACACTCCTCTATCCAGATAGTTTCTGAAAGGTCACCAACAATAAACTACGAACTGACAGACACGGAAATCTCTCCACAGTCCACATCCCACTGGGTGCTCTGTCATGTTTGATGTAACTGACAAGTAGGCAGCACAGTCCAAAGACCTGGTTCAAGTCACCTGTCTGTCCGAGCAACAAGTCATTTAACCTCTCTGAGCCTTGGTTTACTCACCTATGAAATGCGTGGTTTATTTCTCAAGAGCATCGTGATTTAAACTTTCTGAACCCTCCCATGGACATGGAATCTGCAGGGCCTTTTACCTGAGAGGTATTTGGTAAATATTTGTTCAATGAGCAAATAATTGAATGAATATTGGTTTTATAGTTCCTCAATTACCAAAATAAATCATCGTGATAAATCTTTATCAAAACATCTAAATATGAGTACTAACTTATGAGAGCCCTGGACATTTCACAGACCATGTATTTCAATATTTTTTATCTATGAAACCCTGCCCGGGCATGGTGGCTCATGCCTATAATCTCAGCACATTGGGAGGCCGAGGCCGGTAGGTCACCTGAGGTCAGGAGTTCGAAACCAGCCTGGCCAACATGGCAAAACCCGTCTCTATTAAAAACCCAAAATTACCTGGGCATGCTGATGTGCACCTATAATCCCAGCTACTCAGGAGGCTGAAGCAGGAGAATCGCTTGAACCCTGGAGGTAGAGGTTGCAGTAAGAGGTAGAGGTTGCAGTAAGCCGAGATTGTGCCACTGCATTCCAGCCTGGCGACAGAGCAAGACTACATTAAAAAAACAAAACAAACAAAAAAAAACTATGAAACCAAATTAGCCAAGTGTAGTGGTGGACGCCTGTAGTCCCAGCTACCAGGGAGCCTGAGGCATGAGAATCTCTTGAACCAGGAGGCAGAGGCTGCAGTGAGCCAAGATTGCACTACTGCACTCCAGCCTGGGTAACAGAGCAAGACTCTGTCTCAAAAAAAAAAAAAAAAAAAATCTATGAAACCTTCTCTTCGCAGGATACCTTATGTCACAGCTCAGTGTGTGGAGCAGGTAAGTCAGCTGCTGCAGCTAGGCTGGAGTGGAGGGGGAGGCACGGTGGGTCCAGGGGCAATGGTAATCACACAGGAGCAGCTCTGTGGAGATTCAGGCCTTTTTCTAGCTGGGTTAGCTCTGAACAAAGCTCTTGGCTCTTAGAGCCTTCTCACAAGTTCCTTTCCAACTGAAACCTGTCAAGGTTTGTCAACCAAAACACCTGATACTCATTAAACATTATTACACATTGGTAACGGGTGGTACTGTATCAGGAACCAAGATAACAAGTTCCTGTTTTCAAAGAGCTGCCTGTCTAGTGAAAGAGACAGCAAGAAAACCACAGTTCCCATGTAGATGAGAAGTGGAGGCGTGCAGTGTATGGTTGCACACTTCAGTGACAATAAGTCAGTCATATAGAATATACAGAGAATATAGAGAGAATATAGACATTCTCTTCAAGGCAGGAGAGTCTCGGGGAAGGATTTTAAGCAGGTAAGAGATAATGCTGTATCTGTGGTTTAGAAAGAGCCCTATGGGCTGGGTGTGGTGGCTCATGCCTGTAATCCCAGCACTTTGGGAGGCCGAGGCGGGCGGATCATGATGTCAAGAGATCAAGACCATCCTGGCCAACATGGTGAAACCCCGTCTCTACTAAAAATACAAAAATTAGCTAGGCATAGTGGCACACACCTGTAGTCCCAGCTTCTCGGGATGCTGAGGCAGAAGAATCACTTGAACCCAGGAGGTGGAGGTTGCAGTGAGCCGAGATCGCACCACTGCACTCCAGCCCAGGCGACAGAGCAAAACTCTGTGTCTCAGAAAAAAAAAAAAAAGAAGAAATAAAATCGGCCATGGATTGATTTTTTTTTTAAGGGTCTCGCTCTGTCACCCAGCATGGAGTCCAGTGGTGCAATCATGGCTCACCACAGGTTCGACCTCCAAGATTCAAGCGATCCTCGTACCTCAGCCTCCAGAATAGCTGGACCACAGGCACACACCATCATGTCCAGCTAATTATAAACTATTTTCTAGAGATGGGGTTTAGCTATGCTGTCCAGGCTGGTCTTGAACACCTGGCCTTAAGTGATCCTCCTGCCTCAGTCTCCCAAAGTGCTGGGATTACAGGCATGAGCCACTATGCCTGACTAATAATCATTAAAGGTAGGTGACCATGGGGATTCTTTGTTCTATTTTTGCATATGCTTAAAATGTTTTAAAAATTCTTTAAACCTAATACATAATATATTGATGACATTGCACATAACACATAACTTTAGAGAGGGATTTGACATCATTTATTTTCATAACCCTTGAATTTGCAATTCCTGTTCTGGGAATTTGTACTTCAAAAATAGCTAAAATACAGTAAAACAGTGAATGGGAAAGGAGGAAAGCCAAAGACACTCGCTGAAGGGCAAACAAGGAATTCATTGAGTGAGTAAGACATATGAATGTAATGGAATATTATGCAAACATGAAAATTATACATCTGAGCATCATGCAGCAATGTGGGAATTGAGCAATATAATAATATGTTCCAGAAGTAGGATCACAGCCCCATACACTCAGGGGGCATCTGTAAGCTATTACAGTTGTGCAAAAGATGCCAATCTGGCCCCAGCGACCTCTCTGACTTGTCTTCCACCACCCACTTCCTCTCCACGTCTCCCATCCTGCTTCAGTACACCTGACTTCCTGGCTCTCTCTCACTCTAGGCTCAGTCCTATCTGGGGCCTTTGCATGTGCAGTCCCTTTGCCTGAAGCTATTTCCACAAATACCTAAGTGGCTGGCTTTATTCATTTATTCATTCATTCATTCATTCATTCATTCCACAAAGCTGATTTTATTCAGATTGCTGCTCAAATGCCGCCAAATTGAAGACTTCTTTCCTCCACCCCCATCTCTGTCCCATCATTCTTTGTCTCCTTAGCCTGCATTATTTGTCTTCATAGCACTTATCACCGCCTGAAGTTATATCTGCGTTTGGTTTTTTTCATGGCTGTATTTCTAACACTTAGAGCAGGGATTACCACATAGTAAACACTCAACAAATATTTGTTGACTGCTGACTGACAGAACATAAATTCATACACATGAAAAAAAGACTGAAAATAATCTTAAAGAAACGATTATTTGTGTTATAATGAAAGAAAATTAGGTATTTTCCCTGAACCTTTCTGTAGTGTTACATTGCTTTTAGTCATTTAAAAGTAAAATTATGAATCATTTAAAGCATTTAAGCAACATAATAAATGCTTAGCACAGAAACTCAGAGTTAGAATCTTTAGTCTCAAAAGTCTTAAAGTCTTTAGTTTAACCCATAAGGTCACATTAGAGGAAAACTCTGAAAAATAAAGAAATACAGAGGCTGGGAAGGGTGTGTGTGTGTTGTGGGGCAGGTGGGGATGGTTAATGGGTGCAGAAAGAATAGTTAGAATATATAAGACCTACTGTTTGATAGCACAACAGGGTGACTATATTTATTCTTTGTGTTACAAACAATCCAGTTATGCTTTTAGTTATTTTTAAATGTGCAAATATTCTACATTTAAAAATAACTAAAAGAGGCTGGGTGTGGTGGCTCACACCTTAATCCCAGCACTTTTGGAGGCCAAGACAGGAGGATCACCTGAGGTCAGGAGTTCGAGACCAGCCTGGCCAACACGGTGAAACCCCATCTCTACTAAAAATACAAAAATTAGCTGGGTGTGGTGGTGCACGCCTGTAATCCCAGCTACGTGGGAGGCTGAGCCAGGAGAATTACTTGAATCCCGGAAGCAGAGGTTGCTTTGAGCTGGGACACTCACAGCAACTCATTGCACTCCTGCCTAGGCAACAAGAGTGAAACTCTGTCTCAAATAAATAAATAAATAAAAATAACTAAAAGTATAATCGAATTGTTTGTAACACAAAAGATAAATGCTTGAGGGGATGGATACCCCATTCTCCACAATGTGATTATTGCGCATTGCATTGCCTGTATTGAAACAGCTCATGTACCCCATAAACATAGGTACCGACTATGCACCCAGAAAAATTAAAAATAAAAATGTTTTAAATCTGAAAGTAAAAACAAAACAAAACAAATACAACAGCAAAACACCAGCAGCCAGCAGCTTACCAGTGTCTGAGGTGGCTGTCTTCTGTATCCAGTCACCCGGCTGGAAATCGGTTGTTTGAAGATCATTTTTCTCTTCTCTGCTTTCAGCTTTGGAGCCCCTGAGAAATGTGTTGACAAATGAAGTCTGGGGCTTAGTTTCTCCTTCTGAGGAATTGTTCTTCCCTGTTTGACTCATGGCGAAATTGTTGGGGATATTTTCCAATAAGACATCTTCCTGCTGTTTTCTGTTTTCTGGGATTTCGAAGAAGAAAATAAGATTCTGTCAAGCCTGCGTTCAATCAAAATATCCTCCCCTATGTGAGTGCCCCCACCCCCTGCCCCTCTACCTTTCTCTATCTTTTTTTTTTTTTTTGGGACAGAGTCTCTTGCCTTCACCAGGCTGGAGTGCAGTGGCACGATCTCGGCTCACTGCAACCTCCGCCTCCCAGGTTCAAGCAATTCTCCTGCCTCAGCCTCCCGAGTAGCTGGGACTACAGGCGTGCGCCACCATGCCCAGTTAATTTTTGTACTTTCAGTAGAGAAGGCGTTTCACCACGTTGGCCAGGATGGTGTCGATCTCTTGACCTCGTGATCCGCCTGCCTCGGCCTCCCAAAGTGCTGGGATTACAGGTGTGAGCCACCTCGCCCCGCCCTCTATCTGTTTTTTATTGCTGGTAATGTTTAACATAAAAATAAGAATGATGTAACCCAGGATCCGGGAACCAACAGATGGTAATAGATACACATCCAAAGCCATATGAGTTTTTAACTTTGCCCCATTTCACTGTGTGAGATATAAACCATTAAACATGACTTTGGCAAGTGCATCCAGTGTGTCAACACATCTTAGATTACAGCTGTCAATTAGAGTTACTTGAAAGCTTAGCATGCCTTCAAAAGGGGTTAGCCATTTGCAAAGCTGTTCCCACCTTCTAGTGACCCCCACCTCCTTCCTTTGCACACCGGCTCCTTTTTCTCTTTGCATTTTCATACTTTCTCTACCCCAACCCTGCACCACCACCCCACTGAAACATGTTGGCAGTAAATAATTCATTCATTCTATAAATAATTTTAAAGAATCTACTGTGGGCCAGTTATGTTCTAAATGCAAAAGACTCAACGATGAATAAGACACAGCTCTTGTCTTTGATGGGATCTTAACCTGGTGGGAAGATGGACCTGTATGCCATTGATCAATGGGGACGAGAACCAAGAGATGGGGGGTGGTCAGGGAACCCCCAGGTAAACTAAGCATGCCTTGGAAAACAGATTTGGAACAGTGAGTGACATTGCCTGGGTTTTGGAGAACTGAGAGTTAGCTTTTTAAGAGAGGGAGGAGCATCCCAGGCAGAAGAAAAGAGTAAGCTCCAAAGCTCCCAGGCAGGAAGGGCTGGAAGAGCACAGCGGTGCAGGCGGGAATGTGGGTCGGGGGCTGTGGAGGTTACGGGTGAGGTCTGGTATGATTTGAAGCCAAAAAGGACTCATAAAGGTCAATCTATTATGGCTCCTGAGATTTGCTTATATTTCATGGGAGGGTTAGTAATTTAAACTAAAGGAATACATAGAGGTCTTTGGGTTTGGTTTTGTTTTGTTTTAAGGTAGAGATGGGTTTTTACCATACTGGCCAAGCTGGTCTCAAATTTCTGGCCTCAAGTGATCCACTCGCCTCGATCACCTCGACCTCCCAAAATGTTGGGAATAAAGGTGTGAACAACTGAGCCCAATCGAGGTACTCTTGAAATTACAGTGTTCATGGTTTCCTCTCTATAAAATAGATCTTTCTGTAATATTATGTTCCAGAACGGTCCAAGAAACATTTTACACAGGGAATCCTAAAAATTGACCTTACAGAGCGCACCTCCCCTCCTGAAAGATGGAATGTTCCATGCATTTGGAGCACTGCTTTGGAAGTCACAGCTGGGCATTCCACGTTTCTTTTAAAATTTTCCTTCCATATTAGAGCAGGGACCAGCCCTCGTTTATCCAGGAGCAGACAGCAGTGGAGTTAGAATTGCCCATGCCATGGCAGCACAGCTGACTAGTCTCGGGGGTTAAGTGGAAAAGAAGAAGGAAAGAAGGACTAACTCATAAATCCAAACATGCAGCCCTGGCTGCCCCACCCTGATTCCACCATCACCCCAGGTCTTTCTCAGTTTGCTGCTCTTCTGGCCCCCCACCCAAGACTTACCTCCATGGTCATTTTCAGCCAATTTCACCATTTGGAGATTTAGACAGGGCTATTCTCTGGGGAGCAAGCTCAGTAAATGGTTTTACTTTTTTATCCTCCCTGCAAATGCACTGACTCCAACTCCCCAGGTCCTGAGAAAACACTGCTGGAGGGTGCTCCAGGATATGGTAATTTACCTAGGTGAAACCCCACCCAGCTTCTGAGGCCCAGCAGGTTCTCTGCGAAGATCAGTACACTAAGGAACAGGGAAGCCAGGAAGGCAAGAAACACAGGAACCAAGGAACAGAAGAAGATGCAAAGAAGAGGCGAGGAACCCGGAGCTTTGGGAGGCTGAGGTGGGCAGATCACAAGGTCAGGAGATCGAGACCATCCTGGCCAACATAGTGAAACCCTGTCTCTACTAAAATACAAAAAAATTAGCCGGGCATGGCGGTGCATGCCTGGCTACTCAGGAGGCTGAGGCAGGGAATCGCTTGAACCCGGGAAGCAAAGGTTGTAGTGAGTCAAGATCAAGCCACTACACTCCAGCCTGGGCGACAAAGCAAGGCTCTGTCTCAAAAAAAAAAAGGGGGGCCCTTAGGAAAAAGAAATAACTGATATTTCAATTCAACTCATCAATACTAATTGAGCAGATATTTTCCATATTTACCATTCTTAATAGGTAAGACTGTTTGCCATGAAGCCCCGAGTAATACATGTTTGACATGTCATTTTCTCTTGCATGTAAGCTGTTTTTATTTATTTACTTTTGCAAAAGAAAGGAATACTTTTCCTTTCTTTTCAATCCTTAGGTTTGGGTTTAATACAATTAAAATTTTTTTGAGAAATGCTTTTAAAGGTCTTTCTTTTTCTCTCTTTTTTTTTTTTTGAGATGGAATTTTGCTCTGTTGCCCAGGCTGGAATTCAGTGGCAAAATCTCAGCTCACTGCAACCTCTGCCTCCCAGATTCAAGCGATTCTCTGACTCGGCCTCCTGAGTAGCTGGGATTACAGGCGCCCACCACCACACCTGGCTAATTTTTGTATTTTTAATCGCAACAGGGTTTCACCATCTTGGCCAGGCTGGTCTCGAACTCCTGACCTCAGATGGTCCGCCCGCCTCGGCCTCCCAAAGTGCTGGGATTACAGGTGTGAGCCACCGCACCCAACCAGTCTTATATTTTTTGATGTAGTATTTCAGAGTGAATCATATTTTCAATGTTGTTTGCCAAAGGGAGACACATTTTTCTTTCTCCACAGACTTACTTCATTAAAAAAGAAAGAAAATTCTGTTGCATGTTACAACAAGAATTGAGGACATTATGCCAAGTAAAACAAGCCAGTCACAATAAGATAAATACTGTATGATACCTCTTCTATGAGGTATCTAAAGTAGTCAAATTCATGGAAACAGTAAGAATTGTGGTTGCCAGGGCTGGGGGGAGGGGAAGTAGGGAGTCATTTGATGGGTACAGAGTTCCAGTTTTGCAAGATGAAAATGTTCATCTTTGCACAACTTTGTGAACCTGTTGTACAACAATGTGATTATATTTAACACTACTGAACTGTATACTTAAAAATGGTTAAGATGGTTAATTTTGTGTTATGTGCTTTTTACCACAATTAAAATATTTTTAAGTGTATTTTTAAAAAGTGATTCACGCTGGGCGTGGTGGCTCACCACGCCTGTAATCCCAGTACTTTGGGAGGGTGAGGTGGGCAGATCTCCTGAGCTCAGGAGTTCAAGACCACCCTGGGTAACATGATAAACTCCATCTCTACTAAAATACAAAAAAATTAACTGGGCGTGGTGGTGCACACCTGTAGTCCCAGCTACTAGGGAGACTGAGGCATGAGAATCTCTTGAGCCCAGGAGGCGGAGGTTGCAGTGAGCCAAGATTGTGCCACTGCACACCAGCTTGGGCTGCAGAGTAAGACTCTACCTCAAAAAAAAAGTGATTCAGAGGACTAGAACTCCAAATATAAAGTTTTAAGACTACCTTATTCAATTTCTACTTTTATTTTCTTTCTTATATATCCACAAGTGTGACATGATTTTAGAAAATCCATGCCTAATTTATATATATATATATATATATATATATATATATATATATATATATTTATATATATATATATATATATATAATTATTTTTTTTAATGGAGTCTCACTCTGTTGCAAGGCTGGAGTGCAATGGTGCGATCTCAGCTCACCGCAACCTGCGCCTTGCGGGTTCAAGCAATTCTCCTGTCTCAGCCTCCTGAGTAGCTGAGACCACACGTGCACGCCACCATACCCAGCTAATTTTTATATTTTTAGTAGAGATGGGGTTTCACCATGTTAGCCAGGATGGTATTGATCTCTTGACCTGGTGATCCATCCACCTCGGCCTCCCAACTAAATAGATTTTTAAGAAGCACAAAATTAAAATCCTAGGAAACTGAAAACAGAAAGCTTCAGCGGCCGGGCGCGGTGGCTCAAGCCTGTAATCCCAGCACTTTGGGAGGCCGAGGCGGGTGAATCACGAGGTCAAGAGATTGAGACCATCCTGGTCAACACGGTGAAACCCCGTCTCTACTAAAAATACAAAACATTAGCTGGGCATGGTGGCGCATGCCTGTAATCCCAGCTACTCAGGAGGCTGAGACAGGAGAATTGCCTGAACCCAGGAGGCGGAGGTTGCGGTGAGCCGAGATCGCGCCATTGCACTCCAGCCTGGGTAACAAGAGGGAAACTCCGTCCCAAAAACAAAAACAAAAACAAAAACAAAAAAAGAAAGCTTCAGTCACTTAGTTCTAAGGCATTCTGGTGGCATGCAGTATGTCTGATGAGCGTAGTTCAGCCTTATTGAGAGCTCTTGTCTTAAAGAGGCATTATTGTAGATATATTCTAGTACTGTAGTTAATTCTGTTATTCTTAGTTAATTTAAGCAGAAAAAGAATTTATTAAAAGAATGATGTGGAAGTTCTACTAAAAGGATGGCAGAGGTAAATATGTGTTTACCTCCACTTCTCTGGAAACCCCATTTAATTAACAGGAGATTTTTTTTTAATTGTAGATCTGTAAGGATAAGGAGAACTAGATGTCAGCACAACTTTGAAAACTAGCGAGCAAGAGGA